GTAGCTCGCGATGAGAAGCCGGTTTTACCGCATTCTCCCAACGCAGCACTGCTCAAACATCTGTGTGCACGCAGAGAGCCTGATAGAACGCCGTCAGGGTATTTAACCTCTGCGTATCAGGTCTATTTGTATTTTACTGTCCATTAAGGTAAAGAAATCCAGACCGACCTCGAGGGAAAATGACTTAACGCATTTACCTCCACACATTAATCCACCCACCGTCGCGGCTGCTCTTCTAGCCCTATATCACGCGATACGCAGAGCATCTTTAGCGCGCGCGCTCACAGCACTTCGCACGCGTCACTCCAGCACAGGGACTGTGAGAGCAGATGGAATATTTAGACCTTTTACTTCAATTATATTGGACGACAGGGGCGTAAATATAGACAGTGCGGTTGCATTGGGGCTCTTGGGGTGGAGGAGTCCGATTGCCACCTGGAAATATGGCCATGTTCAAAGAAGAACTCACATTGAACTAAAAATTGTGTGATTTTCTTCATATGCTCTCAAAAAGGCAAACCCATCTTCATCATGGTTTTCTGTTTTTGTAAAATAGTATCAATCTATAACAAAACGACATGCTTATTTTACATTAACTTTAAAAAACTATAATAATAAAAAAAACGATTTATTCAAACTGATAATTTCATGTTTTCTTTTGTAGTTTTTCATCATATATGTAATGAAGATTGCCGGATAATACATATGTTGATGTTGTCCAATATTGAGTCTCTGTTTCGTCATGTAGCGAGAAAATACAATGTACAGTAGACTGGTTTAGCTGCAAAATCTCTCAAGACTGAGATTGGCACATCTGAAAGTGGATATAACATAAAAGCGGCAGTAAGACACACTGTTGGTAGAATATATAGCCTATGCCTAAAACTCTGTGTGTGCTTCATAACTAGTAAGTAGGGCACACTGGGGCCCGTCATTATAGCATGCACTGGGGCCCATCATAACGACCTTGTACCACTGGTGGAGGAGACAGTTTTGTTTTTTGATCACGCATGTAGGCGTAATTTCAACTATTAACCATAGACTATATAAAATACTGGTGAGCTCAAGTGGAGTGTCTAAGTCTAAAAACTATCGGCCTATCAGCCTGATGAGTCACAATCAATCAGTCTCAGTGTGATAAAACTAGAGATTTTAGTCATTCTGCAATTAAAAATGTTAGAGCATAAAGCATTTGACAAGCTGAATACCATATAATTTCACAATTTAGCCTATGGATTTTATTGTATTCTCTAATAAGCACATCACAGAAAAAAATAGCAACTAGCTTTAAAGTGTGGTATTGCTACAAAAAATGTTCAGTAAAATATGTGAATTTTTCACCCACAGCTGCTAACCTATAAATGAACCAAAAATTTAAAAAAAAAATCCAATATATATGTCAATATGATCATCTTAAAGTCATTCTGCATATGAGTATTTTCACTTTTGATACATTTTTTTCCTGACAATACTTTTACAACCATTTGCATGCAGGACTTTTACTTGTAACTGAGTTTGATTTATTCAAAGGAGTAAAGTTAGCACATAGTAGCCAAAATGAATAATAATAGTTTAATAGCAATTCTTTTACTTGAGTGGAATATCTGAAAAGGCTTCTTCATCCATCCCTGATGTGGAAGTTGTGTTAAGTGGCAGGCCTGCATCACTGTAAGTAAAATGAACCTCTGATAGCTTATTGGCTATAAATAGCATTAATAATGGGGATTGTGAGCTGTGACGTGCAGCAAAGGATAGTAAAGTGCCCAGTCAGCATTCACAGGATACGACAGAGAGGGAGAGATACAGACAGAGGGAGAGTGATTACAGAGGTTGACAGATCTTTATTCATGTCACATGGACTTTAGCCTAGTTTTCGGATTTATATTTAAAATTTTAGCTGACACACTTACCCAGAGACAACATATGTAGATTAAATTCCTCCTTCTTCCATTTCATCCAAAAGTATTCACCCTCCCTGGCATTCTTCCTATTTTGTTGCATCAGTGCAAATGATTTAAATAGATTTTTATTGAGATTTTTTGTCATGTCAAAATAGCCAAAGTTGGTGATGTTAAATTAAAAAAAAACTTGTTAAAAATAAGTAAATAAAAAATAAACTGAAATGTGGTGTGTGTGTGTGTGTGTGTGTGTGTGTGTGCATTCACCACCTTTACTATGATGCCCCTAAATAAGACCTGGCACTGTCAATGAGCTTGAGAAGTCACATAATACATATAAGTCCGCCTGTGTGCAATCAAATATCACATGATCTCAGAATATACTTGTTCTGAAAGGCCCCAGAAATTGCAGTACCACTTACAAAGAAGCACCATCAATCAAGCGCCACCATGAAAACCAAGGAACTCTCCAAATAGGTCAGGGAACATTCTGGAGATGTAAAGATTAGGGCTGGGTTATAAAAACTATGTATGAACGTCCCATTGAGGACCATTCATGTTATTATTTCAAAATGGGGAAAACATTGGGCACCACAACAAGGACCACATTTGGGGTTGGGGGGGGGGGGGGGTCCAGAAAAAAGAAGAGAATAGTCAGAGGGAAATATTAGTTCCATAGGTCTACATAAGGAATAACCACTAGCCTATAGGTATATCAGCATTTTTTACAGCTGGATCAAAGACCAGAACAATAACCGCTGGGAACAGGTAGTAGTAATGCTGTGATACATTGCATTGGTTAATTGCTGTGCAATTCTCTATGTATATGTTTCTGTCCCTATCAAATAAACATGAAAATGAAGGTATAGACCTACATATACCTGCTATTTGATAAAATGGATGAAGATAAAGCAATTATGAAAATAATATCTAATAAACTCTTGGTATACACGTCAGAATTAACAGCTATGGGCAGTCTTGAGAGTAGAGGATGTTATCACAAACAAAGGATTTCAGATTTCCCTGCTGCAATGTACAGTCTAAAATCAACACAAACCATCAGTGAGGACAACTTTATCAAAATCCAGTCTGATAAGTAGTGAAGGCAGGCATTACTGTAGGCCTTGAGTCCAAAAATAAGTTAAAGTAAGAAATTACAGGATAGGGTCTCAAAGGAAGATATCTAATTTTAAGATTGGACATAGCGCAGAGGACTTAATGCAACACTTTATATCATAAAACAAGACAGAAACTGTTTTAATCTCAGAAAAGGTTGAGCATGTACTGTTATGATGTTCAAAGCATGTTAAAAAAAGAACCATTAAGGCTTTATAGGGTTGGTGGAGGTAGAGAATAAACAGAGAAGCACAGGGAGGGCGTTCCATTATCTTTAGTAAACAGTAGTGGCGGGCGGATCAATAACATGTTTCATTTTGAAGATTGATCGTAGTGTCAATAGGAGGACCTCTCCTCTACGTCATATTATTTATATTTCAAGAGTAAAACTGTTGGTGCAATATTCCGCTGTCAGGAACACATCTAGTGCATTCATTATTTGTTTCTCCACTGCTTTTTACTCAAAAACAAAACATGGCATGCACTCCAACTAGTTTAATCTGACACATAATAGCAGTGATGGATTAATGGAAGAGGAAAAAAAAACATGAGGAGGAGAACTTGGAGCTGCAACCATAAAGAAGGAAGGAGGGAAATGCCTCAGCATCCAGACTCCCAACAGAGACAGGGTTCACCAGCGGTCTGTTCAGAGTGGCTCAGAAAAGAATCCACGTTTTAAAGTAGTGAAATTAATATTTAGTTGAATTAGATCTTCAGTATTGGCTAATGTTACATTTTCAAACTGTAATTTGTCCTCATTAGCTTTCGGATTATCCACCTCATAAATTATGAAACAGTGCTTTCCCCTACATGAACGTACATAAGCCACTATCAGCAGGCCTATTAAAAGGTATTATATCGGTGTCGATATTAGCGATTCTATCCTTGTATCACTTGGTATCAGATCAAAACCAAATTTTAGCTCTTATGAAGTGTCAGAGAAGCACACTGTGGTGAGATGGCTCCAGAAGGAGTTGGGAAAAGTCAAGCTGTTCGATGTCAAATGATCCAGTTTGATAGTAGTGGAGTGCGTGTCAAAGAGATAGATTTAAAAGGCACTGAAAGTCTGACTTTTAGGGGATGGGATGAATATGTATCCAATGACATGTTTCTCATTTAACAAGAGAGACCCAGTAAAATGTGTTGACAGAGTCTCATACAGAGTGTAGGCTGGGAGACTAATAAAGTGGAAAGTGGAAACAGACAGGTATAGGATGAAGAGGTTTGACAGGAGACTCAGGAAATGCTTGAGACCAAGTCCATCATTCTACACTTTGATTTAGAATACTATCTGTCTAGGGTGTTTTTTGGCCATGTATCATAAGACAGTATATCCCCAAACCGCTTCTATTTAAGGACTGTTGGAAATTCGGTCATAGTCTGTTTGTACGTAGGAGTGATTCTGACACATGTGGTAAATGTGGGGAGAATGAATGTAAAGAATGTGAGAAAGAGTGTGTGTTCCTTGCAAAGACAACCATGCAGCATGGGAGGCTAACTGTCCAAAGAGAGTAAGGGAGGCAGAAACAATTAGAGATCGTATAATGAAAGGAAATAAAGTAGATAAGACAAAATATGGTGTGAGACAGGAAGCCAAAGAGGTCAAGTCAGCCAGGAAACACGAGAAATAATGCTTGTGTAAGGACCAGACAAAGTTTTTAGCCTTCTGGCAACAGCTATTAACTGCACTGCTGAATGTGAAAGAAAAACCTGAGAAAACTGAGATAATCAGATCAGATGCAGCGAGGAGGTTTCTGGATGCTGTGGGTGTCTCTGGAGAAGATGTACGGGGGCTTTTGAGAGAGGTTTTTATGAGCTTGAATGGGAAGGGATTGCTATTAATAGTAGTAATAGTATCATTTTGTATATTGAGCGGATACCTTAATGTAAATCCAGCGGGGGCGGTATTGCATTTTTTTTCGTTGCCTACCGCCCTAAAACCAAAGAAGAAGACGAAGATGACGTCAAACTGCGACTGTTAACGCGGCCGTTCGTTCGTCCGACCTGCAGACCCAGCCCACTGACAGGCTCAGCTAGTGGGCTGCACGCTGCACAACAATATCTCTATGCTTTAATACACCTCTAACAATAACGACACTGAAGTCAGAAGAGGATAAGATGCCTTTGCCTGTGCAAGTGTTTAACTTTCAGGTACGTGTTTTGCAGCCATCCAATATCGCTGGAAAATAAACATAATAGGTTTTCAGGACAACGTAGCTAGCAGTTAGCTAATAGCTAAGTTAAACTATTGGAACCTTAGCTGCGGTTTAGTTCCTGGCTAAAGATCACAAATTAAGACCACCATCATTTTTTGTTATGCGTATGAATCATTTGCAAAACAATATCTTGTTTGAATAAAACATTGGCGAAGAATTAAAGTTAAGTTCTGAAAATGGTTGGCATTATTGCTAAATGTAATGTTATTGTGCATCCCTGGCGTTACAGTGCGCTAACGTTAAACTTAGTGAAGAAATAACGTTACATATATATATGTTTTTTGTTAAAAAAAAGTGCCGAATCTAGGAGTGACCCTTTATTTTTATGAAACATTTTAAATGCATGCATGTTTGCTAGTAAATCGTCTAAAATTGGGAGATTATTTAATCGAGTCTGGATCTGTAGGCTAACAGGCGAGTGAAGGCCTCCATTGGCTAACGTTATAACGTTAAGTTAGCTAATAACATAGTGACGATTTTAGCATTGTTGTCACGTTAAACGCTGGCAAAACAACAATTGACGCCAACTAAGTTGTTATTAGAGCTGTAACCGGTGTAAAGACATCTTAAGTTTTATTTTTCATATAAGATAAACATACTATAGACTGAAGTACCCTTTGTGTTTATTATTGTAGCTTGTAGCTAACGAAAGCTAGCATTGCGAAGCCAACTTCCTGTTATTAGCAGTTTGTCACATTAGCCTTTAATTGTAGCTAGCATTACTGTATTCATAAGCCGTATGAGTGGGCGAATGAAGCATTGTGAACCTTTGGAGTTCTCCCTCTGTTTGTGAGGACAAAGATTTGAAGCTTTGGGGCTTCAAGTACCCCCAGAACAGTGGCTTTTAATGGCTTGTAAAGCTTAAAGCAGCCCTCTAGGACAGAAGTACTACAACTCCTCTCTGATATTAAGAAGTTTTTTTTTTTTAGCCAAATGCTGGTGAAATATGCAAGTGGCTGGTAGATTTTGGAATCCAGGTGGAGAAAAAGTTCATTTTCAACCCTGCATTCACCCATTTCTGATAACGAATACAGTACTGATGCATTCTAACTTTGCAACTTTTGCAAAAAAGTTTGTTTTTTTCTAACTCAGCATCAGTAACTTATGTCTGAATGTATCAGCCTGTTATTACCCTATTTTGCTTTGCCTGTTGGCAACCATTTAGAACAAGACCTGTTGTCCTGATAAGAACTGTAAGGGCTGTTGGATCCAGTTAACATATATTAGAACATGGCATTCTTAAATACTTAATTCTGATTGGTCAATCAACAAAATTCTGCGGTGTTTATTTCTTGAGGTATCATCGCTGCTCTGCTGCTCCGTTGCTAGGGATGCCATAGCAACGGCCTTAGACTGTGGAGCCATGGATACAGAGTACAGACACATTTCTTTTTGCGAATTTTGAATCAATAAAACGTGCTTTAATCATTATTTTGTGTCACATCACTGAATGTTTTAATAGTAAGCCATGTTCTAAGCAGGATAATGTATAGTGAGCCGGTGACTGTTGGAAAAGTAGCTCCCTTCTGTCGGGAGTTATTTTTCAACAGTCACCGGCTCACTATGCATTATCCCTTATGTATATCCATTGTGCAGAACAATGTCAATTCTCACATGGCCATGTACTAATATATTGACAGCTATCATTAGCAGTCTAAACCAGCTTTGAAGCTGTTTTGTAATTGTAGTTAGGTAGGATTAGATATTTAATTACAGCGGGACATAGCTCATTGCATTGAATTTATTTTTATTTTATGTTTAAACCCTTGTGAATATTAACAATTTACCGTCTCATAATCAATCCCTGTGTAGAGCAAATGAATACTGTACCTTGATCTGTGCCATGCTGTTTAATAGCTCGATGTTTGGACAGCTCCTGGTCCTTAAATGAGGCTTGCTTTTTGACCCAGCTTCACCACTAGCAATGGAAGCTCAGCCTGGTGATGTGTTCGTAGCTCACCCGCTGGAACAGGCTGCAGCACACATTTTGTTGTGGTTCATTGGTTGATGGTCTTGAATTTTAAGTATTCCATCTTACAGCATCACAGCAGAGGATTTGCTCTTGGCAAACCGACTCTAGTTGTCTTCTCTTTTTTTCCATACAGTTCTAGTATTATTTTGATGTTTTGCAGCTATTACATGGATCATGTCTTGTGTTGTGATTTCTGCCAACCTCTGTGCCTGATGTGTTTCTCTCAGGGGTCTGTGGAGCCCATGCAGATAGACGCAGACCCCCAGGAGGACCAGCAGAATGCTCCAGACACCAATTACATCGTGGAGAACCCAACACTGGTACTGCCCTGACAGACTTGCATATGGACACTCTCACTCTAACACTAACCCTTGATGGTGGCATGCAATCAAACTGTTTGTCCATTGACAATAATTATTTGTGTGGTGCTCTTGTGGCAGTGATGTTAATCCCTGTTGTTAAGGAATAAGGATCTAATGCTGCCCCTTAACATAGATGAGTGTTGACTGAATCACTGTACTTTTTTCCAGCTGCATCATTGTACACAGAGTAGTATATGATAACAGCATGGCAGACTGCAAACCTCTACAAACAAAGAAAAAAAAATCACTTTTCAGCAATGTTTTACCTCCATGTTCTTGTTTTGGCTCAGCTTGCTTAAAACCTTGACTAAGGTGGTACCAAAAAAGTACCAAGTACAACTTTTGCTAATGGAAAACCAAACAAGAATGGTTCTTAGTAAGTTGAACTGTGCTGCACCATGCTGTGGAAATGAGGCTTAACAGACTATAAAATTATAATGTAACCTGGACAGAGGATCAGTTTTTGTTTTGTTTTAACTGTCCCTCCCTGTGTGTAGGACCTGGAGCAGTATGCAACCAGCTACAGCGGATTAATGCGCATCGAGAGGCTTCAGTTCATCGCTGAGCATTGCCCTCAGCTCCGGGTGGAAGCCCTGAAGATGGCCCTCACCTTTGTCCAGAGGACCTTTAATGTCGATACTTATGAAGAGATCCACCGCAAACTCACAGAGGCCACACGGTATGAAAGTCAAAGATCCACAGGCATAAGAATGCTGCTTTTGGAAGAGTGCAATCCTGATTTGAAAACGGATCATGTTAGCAAGCTTAACAGGGTACTCTTGATAAAGAGGTTGATGATTTCAGCTCTCCGTCCACCCAAAATGAACATATTGGCCTTTTAGACTACAGGAACTCAGAGGGGTTCTTTGCAAAATTTAGAGTGAATGAGTTGTCTTGACACGGTTCTCAACATGGAGGTGGCTGAAAAGTTAGATGACAGCACACACATGGCGCGTGACTTAAGTCTCTTCTCATGATGCCATTACTCTGCCATTTCTGTACACTCCAAATTATGGTTTGCTGCTATAGTAATGCTCTTAATGTCCTAAACAGAACCGTAAATAACCTGTACTTTGATGTGTAGCCATCATTAAAAGTTCTGCTTTTGTTCCCTCCTGCACTTTGCCTTCCTTAACCTAAATTTTGTCGCCAATCAAGAGGTGGCACGTTAATTTATACATGGGGGAGAGGGATGCAAAAGCTCATTTGCAATACAGCTGCATTGTGCAATTTGTTTTCCACCCGATTTTTCAGAGTCACCTCCCAGTCTATTCAAGAGAGAATTAAGCAGTGGGGTGGGTTGATGGTATGGAGTGTGACTTTCAGTTGCTATTAGTCATATGGCAGTCCTTTGGGAGTGAACAGCCCAGTAGGGTTGGATCAGTGTAAAAATGTTCAAACTGGTTTTACTGGGGTGGCCACATTGTACTTCACTACAATCTGATGGAAAACAAAATGCCTTATTAGTCAATAAATAATGATCTTGTCTACATCAAATGTTAATATTTTTGTGTGTGTGTGTTTTTCTTAACCTTTAGGGAAGTGCAGGGTGTGCCGGACACAGTACCTGAAGGTGGGGTTGTTCCTCCTCCCCTAGACTCTGCCTGGGCTGAGTCCACCAGGAAAAAGGCTCTGCTTAAACTGGAGAAACTGGATACTGATCTCAAGAACTACAAGGGAAACTCCATTAAAGAGAGCATTAGGTACGATGGCACGCGGCATGATTGAATCTTATTAGTAGCATCAGTGTTCTTAGACAAAACTCAAACAGTTTTGTATTTAAAGCAAGCAGGCAACCTTTGGGACTGGAAGGTGAAGCCAGAGTGCCAAAAAAGTTCATCTAATGGCCATTTGAGGATGGCTCAAAGAGCGAGTCAATCCCCATAGACCCCCATGTTAAAATGCCCAACTTTACAGCAGAAATAAACATGTTTACAGTCTGGTACAAAAAATGGCGTCCATGGCGTCAAAATTGGTTAGGTAATGGTTCATATTGAGATCTTTTATTTAAGTGTCATACACCACAAGATGCCCAGCCCACATGGGCTCACATGACACTACAAAACATTATAAACAAGAGCAAAAACATTATGGCACAAACCATATATTTAAAATGTCTAACATAAAGTGCCCTCATATGCAGTTGGTAAGCATTTGACACAAACTGAGCTTACTGAAACACTTTGTCTATAAACACAAACTCAAGTCATCAGACTTGGAAAACACATGAGAACATTCTGCAGTCAATTGAAAGAAAAGCTTAAATCTGAGATTGTGATGAAATGGACAGTAGAACAAAAAGTGTATTTCATTTTCAATCTCTCCGAGGTCACACAGGTGACATTTTCTGTTCTCTGGAATTGAATGGATGCGTCCAATCTCCACTGACATTGGCAGGATACCACATCTCAACTGAGCACAGATGGACCTCTGAGCTCTGGCCAGGTTAAGGGTGACATAGTGCTCCAAGTGCTATTGTAACCGTGGTGCAGCCTCAGAATCACAGAGTATAGCTACAGCTGTAGCTGTTGCTATTTCTGCATGTTTTCAGTTCATGAAAGCTAATTTAAATGTTTTGGTCGCCTAAAAAGTCTTGTTCAGCATTTAGTTGCACTAAAAGACCTTCTAAGGAGTTGGATATTCAGTTTTTCCACACACAGTTAAATTCAGCTGTAAATGCACCCTGCTCACCAAGACAGCAGCTAGGGTTAGAATTATTTCCACCATCTCATCCAAATAGGATCAGATCTGACTCAAAAAAAAAACAAGATGGCGACAGCCAAAAGGCCAGACTTGTGGCTTTAAAATAGGAGTCCACAAACCAGTGGGTGATGTCACTGTGGCTATGTCCATTATGTTCTACAGTCTATGATACAAAGTCTCCACTTTCCATGAATTTTGTATGAAGAAGACGGAAAAAAAAATTACTGATTAATAAAGGAATAGTGGCCAAGATTTGAAGACCTAGGTTAAAATGGGGTTAGATATACAACAAATTACCATTTCATGTACGGATAAATATTAACTGATTTCTTATACTGTTCTATGAAAAAGATAATGTTCTGAGAACAGCCAGTAACAGCTACCACAGGCAAAACTATAGAAAGTAAGTATATATCATTTCTGGATGATATAGTAGTTGTCTTACCTTGTTAGAGTTGGCCTCTTGAAAATATAAACCAGCTGCCAGGAGTATTCACAGTCCCTGATCGTGCAGAATAACAGCAGCTTTAAAGTAGGACCTGTGCCTTAGGACAAAGCCAGTGCAGACACCAGCACAGACAGGTGGTTTGTAAAAAGAATGTTCATGGTTATTAGTTTTGCCAGCTTGGTCATTGGAAATTCTTTGGAGAGCTAGCTGATTACCAGTCATTCTTTTCTTGAAATGACCCTCTGTCCTTTTCCTGCATCTACCACCTCTTTATCTCCCTCTGACCTGCCGTCTGTTCTGTCCTTCCTCCCCCAGGAGAGGCCATGATGACTTGGGGGACCATTACCTGGACTGTGGTGACCTCAGTAATGCCCTCAAGTGCTACTCGCGAGCCAGAGACTACTGCACCAGTGCTAAACATGTCATTAACATGTGTCTGAATGTCATCAAGGTACAGCATGATGAAATCGCGTTTTGCTGCTGCATTCATGTCTTATGGTGGTAACCATGTTGCTGTTATTGGTTAGGACAGGGGTCAGCAACCTTTACTGTCAAAAGAGACATTTTTGAACAAAAATTAAAAAAAACAAAAAACAAACACACTGTCTGGAGCCACAAAACATTTTTGCGTCTTATTAGGAAGGTAACACAGTCTGTTGTGTCTAAAATAGTCTGTCAACATTCCTAATAGGTCTAAATGCGCATTCATTAATATGATTTAGCAGAAGGTGGCTAGTCAGCAGTGGGCTATTAATGAACATATTCATTTAGACATGACCTCAGCAACACTTGTCTGGATGTACTGCCTTTTTGGGGGTCTCATCAAGTATGGAGTGATAAGCATTTTAAACCAGAGATATGTATTATCAAGTAGTTGAGTCGTTTTTATGATTTCTGCCACATAACGGAAACGCAGAATGGGATAGCAACCACTGGGAGAGGTTTCAGCCATTTGACCTTAACAACAAAGCATATGAAGTAAATCATCTTCTCTGTGCCCACAGGTTAGTGTTTACCTCCAGAACTGGTCTCATGTTCTGAGCTACGTCAACAAAGCAGAATCCACGCCAGAGATAGCAGAGGTGAGCACCATCCTCAGCGTCTTACTTTTAGTTCATCCCTCAGTGCCGGGACTGAATTAAATGTAAAGCTTTTAACAACTATGTCACAGAAACACTTGTCTTGAGAGAAGGATATCATTACAATAAACAGTCAGACTGCAAGTGTTTCACAATGAGACAGAAAACCATCCGTGCACCCATTTTTTAAACACAAGGTGCATTTTGATTTTCATTTTTTCTTCCTCTTTGTTTTTTAAGTATTTTTACTGAGGCAACAAATGCATTCTGCTGATGCTGTTTCTGTTTCTTTTTGTTTAGCAAAGAGGAGAGCGAGATAGCCAAAACCAAGCGGTCCTCACCAAATTAAAGTGTGCTGCAGGTAAGAATTATGTTCTGTGACAGTATTGTCTCCCAGTAGTCATCACTTGAGTTTGGGGATCAGCTGAGAGGGAGCTGTCTAGTAACCACGTCTTCAAATATGAACTGGTTTCTTATACTGTTAAATAAAAAATGCTCCGAGAGCAGTCAGTGACAGCTGTCACAATAAAACTCTATAAAAAGCACTTACCGCTCGCACTGTATAAAGCAGTTATGTATCATTTTTGGAGGAAGTAGTTGTAGTCTTACCTTGTTTATTGGTGTTTCAGGCCTGGCAGAGTTGGCCTCTCGAAAATATAAACCAGCTGCCAAGTGCTTCCTGCAGGCTTCCTTTGACCACTGTGACTGTCCAGAGGTGAGTGATGCCAGGCAGTAGTGCCATGGTACTACAGCGTGGTTAACCCAGGGAACTTTAAAGCAGTGCTTCCCAACTAGTGAGTCATAATCCAATCTGAATGGACCACAAGCCATTTGCAAACGTGTCCAGTTTGTAAAAAAAAAACAACACTATTTTGAGGTACAGTGAATTTCCCGCACATGACTTTATTTTGAAGTGCCGTTTCATGTTGTTGAGGGAGTAAATAACAGACAGCTACTTAACAGAGACAACAAAATAGCTAGACAACATGGCCTAACACAAGTATGATATTGAATATATTTAACTTTGTGGACCTTAAAATAATAACTAAGGATGAATCTGGACGCCGTGGCTGGACCAGTTGGGAATCACTGCTTTAAAGGACAGAATGGTCTACATTTCACTACAGGGCAGTGGGGGACAAAGCCAGTCTTATGCAAAAAAAAAAAAAGAAAAATTCAAAGTTCAACTTGAAACTAATATGATGCTTCAGCAGTCTGTGTAGGCCAAATCAAGTAGGGATCTCCTGAAAAATGCTTGATTATGTTACAAAACCTGATCAGTAATATGTGTTTGTGGGTGTGTTCCCTACAGCTCCTGTCACCCAGTAATGTAGCTGTGTATGGAGGCTTGTGTGCTTTGGCCACATTTGACAGACAGGAGCTCCAGCGTAACGTCATCTCCAGCAGGTAGGAATAGTTTAGTACATAGTAAGTGAAAGATATCTTGGTACTTGTATAGAATATTGTTGTAATAATGTTTTTTTTTCTGTCATCAGCTCCTTTAAGTTGTTTCTAGAGTTGGAACCTCAGATCCGTGACATCATCTTTAAGTTCTATGAGTCTAAGTATGCATCTTGTCTCAAGCTCCTGGATGAAATGAAGGTGAGAGCAGAAACATCAGTAGTAAACTAAAGATACACACCGTGATGGTAGCTGTTATAGAATAACTGTCGCTAAAGAGTCAGCAATTTGAGACTGTACAGAGTTTATAGGAGAACATGACAGGACAAAATATTACATTATCATCTTGAGTTTATGTGTTGGGATGAGTGACTCTGGTGTTTCCTCCAGGATAACCTCCTGTTGGACATGTACCTGGCCCCACATGTCAAGACACTGTACAGCCAGATAAGGAACAGAGCCCTCATTCAGGTGACACAGACAGTCCATTCACTTGTGTTTCTAATGATACCCACAGGGTCTCAAAAATATCAAAAAAGCTTTGTATTTAATATTCATATTCATTACATGGCCTTGAAAGTATCGAATTTTGATGGCAAATGTCTTTAATTTTTTTCTTGTTCTTTCGTAGGATTAAAGTAACATCATAAGTAACTGTCAAATGTTAAATTTTTGTGTGTGTGGTGTTACAATTCACTGTTTGATGTGATATATAAAAAGGTGTGTATTGCTATAAACAGGGGATGTCTGTTTTGTCTAATTTTGTTTCAGATAGCCTAATGCCCATTAACTGCTAACAAACCCCTCAATTTTTAAGGGGAAAGAAAAAACAGTGAGTAAGTCGCTTCATTTTGAGCTGCACGAATCCTTTAGCATTGTTTACTATGTAAGCACCACTAGTCGTGTTGACACTGCTTGGTGTGCCTACAGTGATAACGTATGCTAAAGTTTTGCGGCTTATAATCGAGCCACTTACTCATCAGGGTAACCTCGGGGGAGACGGAAGGGTGGGCACAGTGTTTCCTCAGCAACACCTTTAGGTCAAGATGGCGTTACTAGCAGTAATTGTTGGATGAAGGGTGCTGCTAGCTAACGTTAGCTCACACCCGGCCCAGCTGGTGCACAGTGCAGTAAACTGAAGAGTAGAAAATTAAGCTATAGGCAGACATGTGTAACTGTTCAAAAATATTCTTGATAGTTAACTGATTGCTATTCTGAACTCTTGACTGTGGAGTGTGCGCAAGCTCTGTCAGTCATCAGGAAAGAAAACAAAACATCTCCTACCTTGCTACTATCAAGCTAATATTAGCTTGTGTGTTCAGTATTTCAGCCCCTACGTGTCAGCAGACATGACTAAGATGGCGCAGGCCTTCAACACCACAGTAGCAGCTCTGGAAGACGAGCTCACCCAGCTCATACTGGAGGGGCTTATCAATGCACGCATCGACTCCCATAGCAAGGTAAGACACGCACACAGACAAAATGGTGAAACGAGTAATTTCTCATTTCAGTCATTACAAACTGCTACACTGACATGTTTGCAGATTCTGTATGCGAGGGATGTGGACCAGAGAAGCACCACATTTGAAAAGTCGCTCCATATGGGCAAAGAGTTCCAGAGACGGGCCAAAGCCATGATCCTCAGAGCTGCTGTGCTGCGCAATCAGATCCATGTTAAGGTACCAACACTCTTCATCACAGTGTATACTGAGTAACATACACTTAATACTGTTAATACAAAGAATCAGAATGTGTTTGAGAACTATATTGATGGTTACGTTGAATTGAAACGCTGTGACACACCACTGATAATAAACGGCAGGTGTAACACTTCCTGACTCATGTTATGTCCAATGCTCAGTCTCCACCCAGAGAGGGCAGCCAGGGTGAACTGACTCCAGCCAACAGCCAGACCAGGATGAGCACGAACATGTGAGGAGGAACTCCTCGTCAAAGTCTGCACACTGACTCTGCTTGCAACAGCCGCAGACTGGAGGGGAAGGGTCACCCACTCATTCATCAACACCAACCCCCAACCCCAACCCACCTGTTGTCTCTCTGCTAAAGACAGAAATGCCACACAATATAAGACTTTAATGTTGCGAAATGATCTCTGTTATCCCCACCAGGTGATGTGGGGGAAATCCTTTGTTAGTCTGACAATATGGAGATTTGGACAAGAACAAAATGTGTTTTGTTAAAGCTCAGCACTTAAGCTGTATGTTACTGGTAGGAGATGCACTTTGCTCTGCTTACACATGATGGAGGCCTCATTAACAGAAACAAGGTTTTAAAATAAAAACGCCTACCAAAACATACACTCACTTGCAGTTTTTACACATTACTCCTGTTATCAACCAATAGCTAGAACTCACAGTCAGTACAAACATCTTTGGAAAGTTTAGATTCTTGTAGTTTGATTAATGGAAACCATCTCAAGATACTACCACAACAGCAGGTACAATCAACGATTCTGTCAGACCACCAACAAACAAACAATTATACGACAAAGCCTCATTATAATCTACTGATCGTTAATATTCCAGCAATGTGAATGTGGTACATTCACAAAGGTCCAGATGATCAAAATCCAGTAAAATATTTAGGCCAAATATTACATTTATAAAGATCTATAGACTGCTGTTGCATAATTTCAAATGTTCTCTTTTCACATGTTGTCTATAATATCTCCAGTTTGCTTGTAAATATTTCCAATTGCTCAGTATCTAACTGGCCGCTGCACTCTGACCTTTTGAATGACACCTCACTTGAGCCAATAGGAGCCTCCATGTCCTCTCTATAGCATACAATAGCAAATGAGAGTCTGGGTTGAGAGAAGGGCCTGCTTCTCTTTTTGGTCTGTAGATCTTGGTCTGTAGATCTGACCAGTAGGCTAGCTCTGTCTAACGATGGTCATTGCAGTTTGACAAAACTGGAACAACCATCGTTAATCAGTGGAGATGGCCTACGACACCACTTATCACCTACCTACAATGCAGTCCTGAGATCCCTCCCCAGACAACTTAATACCCACATGTGACCTTAACAACTCTGCAAGGGTTTACACCCACACAGCCTGCGACTCTCCACCAGTCAGTTACAACTGAAGAAGCCTCTTAGATGAGAGGTGAAGTGTCTTCAAGAAACTCAAGCAAGTCCAGTTACCTACAATAGTCATCCAGGTCATGGTAATTAAGTACTATGAGACTCTCCACCAACAAAATCCTTTTTGAGCTACATTCAGTTCTTAATTCGATGCCTGCAACATTGTTTGAATAAAGTTTGAACAGGAGCATGTGTAGCACCGTATTATATCACCTTTTCTTTAAACAACACTCAGTATTTGGGAACTTGGGAAATGAGAGTCTGTGTTTGGGAAAGTGAAATTCTTTCCCTTTCTTGCTGTGTGACCTAAGTTGCTCAACACTAGGGTCTCTGTTGTCATATTTTGCACCTCATAACACACTCTATGATAGGAGACAGGTCAGTCTAGTACCTGCACTATTTTACTACAAAGCCATGCTATTGGAACATGTGCAGAATGTTGCTCATTGTCTTGCTGGAATAAGCAGGGACATCCCTGAAAAAGACGTCCTCTGGATGGCAGGATATGATGCTCCAAAACCTGTATGCACCTTTCAGCATTCATGGTGCCTTTACAGATGTGCAAGTTACTCATGATGCCATGGGCATTAACATGCTCCCATACCATCAGAGAAGCTGGTTGAATGGTAGAAAATTTATGATTCTTGTCCTCTGAAACCCGAAGGACACAATGTCCGTTATTTAAATAAAAAAAAAGAAACACTTTGAAATATGGACTTTTAATACCATAGTTCACTTTTCCACTTTGTGTCAGTCTATCTCAGATGAGCCCAGGCTCAGAGAAGTCGGCAGATGTCCTGGATGTTCTTGGCTTTCACTTTGCATGGCAGAGTCTGAACTTGCATTTGTAGATGCAGCAACAAACTCTGTTTACTGACAATGGTTTTCCAAAGTGTTCTCGAGCCTACGTAGTAATACCTTTTATACAATCATGTTGGTTTTTACAGCAGTGCGGCCTAAGGGGGCAAAGGTCATGGGCATTCAATTTCGGTTTTGAGTCTTGCTCCTTAAGTGCAGAGATTTCTGTGGATTCTCTGAAACTTTTGATATTATGGATTGTAGATGGTCAAATCCCTTAATTTCTTATAAGTATGCACTGAGAAAAGTTGTTCTTAAACTGTATCCTTTATTAAACAACGTTGAAGTCACAATGAGATTTAAAATCTTTTTCAAGAGCAACCTGGCCAAGAGGGTGGCATTGTTACAATAGAGTGCTTACCCACAGTTTTTGTCTAACCTTGCTTGTGAACAACTGAGCCTTTTGAGGATGCCCCTGTATACCCAATCACAATACTTTAATCTGTTACCAATTAACATGTCTACCTGTGGAATGTTCCAAACAGGTGTTTTTGAGCATTCCACAACTTCCCAGTCTTAAGTTGCCCCTGTCCCAACTTTTTTGGAACATGTTGCAGCAAATTCAGAACAATGTTACAAAAAACACAGTATGTTACAAGACTGAACATTTAATATCTTGTATGTGTATTCAGTGGAATATAGGTTGTAAATGATTTGCAAATCATTGCATTCTGTTTCTATTTACATTCCACATAGTGTCCCAGCTTTTTTGGCATTGGGGTTGTACTTCAGTGTGTACCATTACTCAGTGCCAGTATCACACTGATTGACTATTTGAGAAAAACGTAAATATGTTCCCTTTCAAATGACACCATGTATATGCATGTACTCCAATAGTTCAGGAACAGCCTTCTGTTTACTTTGGGTTTTCCTTGGATAGGAGTTCCAGGCTCATTTTACAGGAATGGTACCGTAAAAGGGGCTGCTGCTCTGCTTTTTGAACTCAGATGTCAAATATGGTTTGAAATATCTGAAGTCTAGAATTTGAGTCTGGAAAAGAAAGGAATTATAAAATGCAAACTGCGTGGTAACCTAAGGCTGTGACTCACAACAGAGATGTAATGTAAGGCTAATTCCCACTGCAGCTAATGTAAGCTAATATATCTGGCATATCGTTACTACAGCAGGGGATTGTACAGAGACATTATTATACGGACAGTTTGTATGAGATTGGTAAATTTTACTTTTTATTTAATACCCACACTATATTGTGCTAGTAGAACTGGAAAATCAGAAATCTGAAACAAATTTCTAGCAAAGAAGGTTTAGAATAGAGTCGTATCCGCTCCTTTCAGTGTTTATGTACTGTATGTAGGTTGAGGTGAAGGGTCTGACGACAGTACGGCACCACAAACTGATAAATACAACACATGACATGATTAGTTGTGGAATATTTTAATTTGAATCTCTTTCCAGTGTATCTACTAATACTGTAGATTCATTATACTTTTCCTGCACAAAGTCTCCCTCCAGCAGTTGGTTCAGTTAAATAATGAAGGCACATTAACTTCAGAATTATTAGGACAATGTTAGAAATCTCAGACTGAACTACAAACTGAGGACAATGAAGGGGGACTTCCTCATTCTCTTTGTGGGATTTAAGTGCATAAACTCAAAATAAAGTGACAAACACACTCAGTCAGGCAGTACAGTAACACTGACTTTACAGGTGCAAAGTCAAACTCAAAGTGAGGATGAAGCTGCAGTGTTTACACTGGGCTGATGGGTAATGGCGTCAACTTTTACAAATCATGATGGTTTTTTATCCAGGACATCATCAGGCTCTCACCATCGATGAAATAATATGTTGTTGGATTGTCGGTTAATCTGTATGACTCAGGACATTTCAGGCAGCAGGTTCAAGCTGAATGTGGTGGGAAGGGGTGAAGTGGGGTGACTGGGTGGAATGGGGTTGAAGTGTGTTGAGGAGAAGGAGCCTGGCTGACTTCAGTAGGCGTGGTCGGCCACAAACAGAGACTCCTGAGCTGCAGCTCCCTTCTGTCCAGAGGACACATACTGCCCCATAGCTGCCTTGCTGTTATTCTGTGGAGAAACACAAAACAAAGAGGGATTCATCAAAACATGATTTTTTTCTATTGTTTGTGAAACGTAATCACCTTTTTCATGACTTTATATTACTAGGATAGAACTCATGACTGCTGATGTTCTTCTTTTCAGCAGGTTAAAGTACATGTTTTGAGTGAGTGTGTGTGTGTGTGTGTGTGTGTGTGTGTGAAAGAATGTTTTGTTGAGTTTTCCTCCATGTGTATAGCAGTCACAATACAAACATAGACATGTGAACAAACTGTACATGCCAGCACAAGTATGGGTACCCTTATACGGTGTGTGCATACTGTATGTACATAAATACAGTACAATACATAAGTAAGAATGACGAGTTCTCCGTAAATTGTCCTTGCTAAAAATAAGAAGCCTACTATCTGTTGCAGGCCACATTTTGGCCTTTGCCATGACTAAAAATCTGACATTCAAAAATCTGACGTGGTTGTATGCTACATGAACCAGTCAAGTTGCAGTTACAGTTTACATCCATGTCTGTCCAGACTCATATGTAGCCATGTATGGATGTTGCGGCAAAGAAGCTGTAAATTAAAAAACATGGGTGCTTCACACACAGCACAGCTGTACAATCAGCACAGTTTCAAGGTGGGCACCCAATATTATTGTCACCAGTTCAGTATATGATCAAATGTCTCCCCTTCTGTTCTTGAGTTATGGCTATAAACATGTTTTTGAGGTCACTGTGACCTTGACCTTTGACCACCAAGTTCTAATCAGTTAATTCTTGGGTCCAAGAGGACGTTTGTGCCAAATATGAAGAAATTCCCTCAAGGTGTTTTTCAAATATCACATTCATGAGAATGAGACGGACAGACAGACAGATGCTTGAGAGTTGCTGGATGGATGGACAACCTGAAAAACATAATGCCTCCTGCCACTGCTATTCCCCGTCTGCGGAGGTATTAAAACAAAGAAAGATGACAAACTAAAAAAGTGCACCCAGTAGAGTGCAGATCTCCACCATGGCCACGAGACGATTTTTGTAATTCCAGCAGTGCATTCAAGCTTCCCAAAAAAATACAGGCCTCGTCTATTCTTGACAAAGCTGTAGTGTGATGTGCACAGAGCAGACTGAGTTTTCCTCCAAAAATACTGTATGTCAATAATAACTGACATTCATTTTGCATCATGCCTAGCTTTGGTGGATCATCACACACTGGGTTTGGAATTAATCTGCAGATACTCTGGTTCAAAATAAGACCAAACTTTTCAGTGAATGTCAGATTTTTAGTCATGGCAAAGGCCAAAATGTGGCCTGCAACAGATAGTAGGCTTCTTATTTTTAGCAAGGACAATTTACGGAGAACTTGTGATCCCGACTGTGTTGAAGAGGAGTGAGGAGTCAGCAGTTCATGACAGTATAAAACAGTCATTAAAACAAGTTTTTAAACAACTTTGAATTACCGCAACCATGAGAGGTCCTTGAGCATATAGTCAAAAATGTGCTCACAAAATATTAGGCTGACTGGTCCAGTAGTTTGCGAAATTAGCTGCAAACAGACTTACACACAGTCACACACAATGACCAATTTGTGTATTGTATCAATAAATGTGTACAAAGTACCATTTAAACAAGAATTTCTATTTAGTTGTGGATGCTTAAACTAAACTACAAGTGCCACTTTACTCTGTTTTTGCATCTCTCTTCTCCTTCCTCCTTACCAGGGCTCTCTTGATGTACTCATCCTGGCAGGCCTTGCCGTTCTCCTTCTTGCCTCCCCAGGCCTTCAATGCTGAGGCCTGCAGGGCCCTGCCATAGGAGAAGGTGAGGGCCCAGGGCCTGTGCAGTGTACACTGGTTGATGGCGTTCAGGTTGAGGGTGGCCTCCTCCTCACTCTGACCGCCTGACAGGAAGGTCACACCTGTGTGGAGAGGAGAATGGAAAGGAGGAAGGTCAGGTGGAATTAAGGTAAACTTGTGATAACCATGATTGCAGATATTTATATGTCCATCTCACCTGGCACTGCAGGGGGCACAGTGTGGCGCAGGGCGGTGACAGTTGCCATAGCAATCTCTTGAGGGCTGTACTTTGTGGGGCAGGAGTGTCCGGCAGTCACCATGTTGGGTTTGAGCAGTGTTCCCTCCAGATAGACATGGTGGTCAGACAGTGCCTTGTAGACAGCTGCCAACACCTAGAAGACAGAGAGGAAAGCTGATTTCCATTCCCCTGCTTCCAAAAAAACCTTACTACTTCATAAACAGTCACAGGTCTGACAGCAGAATGGCTGCTGTGAGTTTGTAAAGTCACTTTGTGTAAGAATAGAAAATGTAGTACTTCAATACCTGTCCCTCAACTCAATGAAACATGCCTGAAAAGCTGAAAGCAACAAATGGAGTTAATTGTTTAACTTTGGTTCAGGAGCAGGACCACGCCTCAACCACACCTTTAATCACCTGACTAACATATATATACCAGCACAGCGCTACCACAGGCCTGTCAGATCTCTCGAACCCACCCTCCCTCCCCTTCTGTTCCTCTCCCTTGTCAATCTGCTGTGTACCTCTCCTCATCTCATTCTAGGCATCGACTGGGGAGCTTCCTAACAGCACGGGCTCATCAGGACACGAGACGGAACCCCCACACTGAGTCTCTCCGCCCACATCTACACCTCACCCAGTCCGACCCTCCGATGACGTCATCTCCATCCCGTTCATTCATCTGCAAATCTGCACTCCCCCATTCATAACCATTTCTCTGACAATTACATCTTCATTAAATCTTTAAACTGCATATCGTTGTGGCGTGGTCCTTGCTAGTGAAATACAGTTTATTAACGTAAAACTGTTGTGTAATATTTCTCTATCTCGGATGTTGTTGTGTCCTACACCCAAGCAGCTAGCATGGCTAAACAGACTGGATGAATGGCAATGTTGGTCATTGGGTCTACCACTTTGGTCAAGATAGAAATATATCTCAACAGTTGATGGATGGATTGCTATGAAATAGTGTTGATCCATTCACGGTCCCCAGAGGATGAATCTACTGACTTTGGTGTTCCTCCCCTCATCCCACCATGAATTTGACACTGGTGGTTTAGACTGAAACACCACAGCAATTATTAAATATATTTCCATGAAATGTGGTTTCACCAGGAATGTCTCATAATATTGTGATAAAAAAAACATCAAAATGATTTGAAAGCTGTTATAATCACACTAAATTCCAAACATAGTGGCGTTAAAAGTGAATATATTTTATCACTGATGCTGGCAGTAGCTAAAACTGTGGAGGTGGTGATGAAGTAGACAGCTGACATCCATTGCTGCCCTTGACTGAGCCAATCATTTTATGGCAAACAATCAAAATTCAGTGGGTTTTTTTTGCTTTTGCTATGAAAAAAAACCCTTCTGAACAGCTTTATGGCTGGCACAGTACTCAGAACTAGATTGCATTTGTAGTGTTCTTAGGCTGCTGTGAAACATGTAACTCCAGTGCCTTCACTGTTAACTCCACCGCAACGCCTTTTGTGTGCCTTTGTTGACATCCATACCAGCAGCAGCAAACATGACCAGACATGATCCAAACAGCTCAAATCAGAATGAAAATATGTGCCACATAAACCAGACTGCTGGCCTGCCTGCACACATTTGTTTTACTGACAACATGCCGCATTCAGGGTGATGACAACATTTTCCTGCATTAGTAAGAGTCACAGTTGCAACCAAGCCATCATATCAGAGGTAATCCACAATAATTTCAAAGGTCAATCTCCGTCAAGTTCTCCATCTGTTACAGCTGACACCCCCCACCCCGTCCCCTGTTGGATCTGTTCCCTCCATCACTCACCTTCTCAGTCACATACTGGCAGCGCTGCAGGTCGTGGTCACCGTCTGGAAGAATCTCAGGCTCCACGATAGGCACGATGCCATGCTGAGGAAACAGTGGATGGAAGAGAACATAGCAACCAGTGTCATGACAACAGACAATAGCACTTCCTCTCTTGGGGTTGTGACTTGTGTACCAACTGTTACACAGTTAGAAGGAACCTGATGGGCTAACTGGGTTGTGTAATGGATGTGTTGCATCACTGTACTACGAATGTAAATGCGTGTTGTGTGTTTCAGTGCGTGTGCGTGTGTGTCTAACCATCTGGCAGATGCTGGCGTAGCGGGCCAGTACGTTGGCGTTCTCCATGATGGCCAGGTTGGACGGTGTGGTGGGGGTGATCTTTAACACACATCTCCACTTGGCAAAGTCGGCGCCATCCTTCTTGTACTGAGCACAACGCTCGTAGAGCCCATCCAGACCTGACAGAGAAACAGCACAAAAGGCGGGTTTGAGTGATGGAAGGCGTGGAAACAGAGGCAAGAAAAGACATCTGACAGTTTGTAAGCAATAACAGAAATCTTTCCAAAGTCAACACAAATACAACCATTCTTGTATTTGCTATAGAATTTAGCTCAGTCACTACATATTAGGAGTTTGTTAGCCAAATACAGCTCCAATGCTGCTCATCAGATTCTAGTTATTATATTGAAAATTAAACATTCATGAGTACTTCCAAAACCCTGTTCATTTTCTGCTGCTGTGCTCCAGGTGCAGGTAAACAGAAGCTGAATTGGATGTTTGATATCTAATTTCTTTGTTAAGAATTTAATTATGAATGTTAATACTATGGTCACTGAGAATGCTCACACCTGATTAACTAGTAGGAGTTTCAGGTAGGCTTACCCTAAGAGCTTGGAGCTAGGGTTATTTGTGTAACCACCTCAAACAACAACAACAACAACAACAACAGAGACTGCATGACAGCCACACAGATTTTATTTTAAAAGTGTTTCATATTTGCATGAATCTGGATCAACTAAAGGTCGGAAGAGGAAAAAGAGGAGTTTGGTAGTAACTTTGTTGTACAGCTGGTAGCCTGAGGGGCAGCTGCAGGGGAAAGGAGACGTGAACAAAACCCAGAAGAAAGATAAAGAGATGAGGAATCCCAGGTAAGAGTGAGAGAGAAAGAGACAGACAGTGTTAGATAGCAAAGGAAATGTGACGTACAATGTGTAAACTACTACATAAATTCTAATCCACAGTGCTATCACAAACAACAATCTTTGTTGTTTGTGTATTTTGTCACTGTTGAGAATACCTGCAACAGATCAGTGCTAAAACAGATTAATCTCACGGGTCAACAGACTGTCTAAACTGCATCCACGGGCATGTACAATACAGGCCAAAAGTTTGGACACACCTTCTCATTCAATGCGTTTTCTTTATTTTCATGACTATTTACATTGTAGATTCTCACTGAAGGCATTAAAACTTTGAATGAACACATGTGGAGTTATGTACTTAACAAAAAAAGGTGAAATAACTGAAAACATGTTTTATATTCTAGTTTCTTCAAAATAGCCACCCTTTGCTCTGATTACTGCTTTGCACACTCTTGGCATTCTCTCCATGAGCTTCAAGAGGTAGTCACCTGAAATGGTTTCNTGTATGTATAATGGCATCCATGACTTGGTCTCACTATGGGAAGTTCTGCAAGCAGTAAAGCAATCAGCCAAAAGGGCAAACATTAAGGTGCCTCTGTCGCTGTCTCAAGGGAATGTCTCTGTTCCTTTAAGAGAGTAGCCTACTCTCCAGTGTTTGCTGTTTTGGTGCACCTGTTGCCTGAGTTACCTGAATAAGCTGTGTTCCACTGAGTGTTTATTTTCGTCCTCTGTACATCTTTTGCAAAGATTAAGCTACATTAATAAATTACACATATTGGCTTTTTGCTCCTGGAGCTTCTATTGCACTTTGCAGTGGGTAGTGATTGTGGTTGTTGTTGATTCTGCACTGCTGTCTATCTGTCCTCTGCCTGCAGTGAAGCATCATCAACAGCACAAGACTCTCACACTGAGCTGAAATGAAACAAGTGCTCATAATTTTGGCAAAAAAAACATACATGAACAGTCTCATACTGCATTTTTGCTGTCAATTATGGCATGTTGTGTTTTACTGCGGGCAGGGCTCAGACCCTGCTCTTACACACACTTAGGAGCTGAGTGGAGGAGAAAAGGCGAGCGGAGAGTTGGAGACAGCTGCACTCTGCATAAAACCACCTGTGTGACAGCTGATGTTAAAGGATCAGCTCCTCTGTATAGCTAAAAAGCTGATCCCGATTAGTTAAAGAATTCCTTCACTGGCCCCAAATCCCAAACTATGAGATCAGATTGGGACTTGCGTATAATAACCCTTGACAACATTTGCTTTGAGCATACATATACTGCTATATACATATA